AACAAGTTTACTGTTGAATATATTACTTACTGTGTAATGAATCGCACTTTTTTTTGTTCCTGTTTTGTTTTTCTACTTCCTGCTGTTTGTGTCTGTGTGAAGATGTAAATGGCTTGCAAGCATTATTTTGCATGATGGTATTATTAAGAGAAAATTGATGTCAAATCATTCTGGAAGAGTTATCTTCTGTGAATAGAGATGTGTTTTCATTACTCAATTTCCTGTTACTTCATGCATTTTGTCAAATTCTAATGGCTGAATGTTACTAGCAGGTAGTTCCTGCCTGGTTGAGCTGCTTACCTATAAAAGGTGATCTTATTGAAGCAAAAGTTGTTCATGAGCAGCTTTGCACAATGGTTGAGAGGTAGACAATGGAGATGGCTCTAATTTGGCATTGTTGGAAACCAAAGTTGTTGCTAAAGACCTTCATTTCTGTATATTGATCTGTTTTCCACTTGTAGGTCCGATAGGGAACTTCTGGGTCCCAACAATCAATATCTCCCCAAAATAGTCGCAGTATTTGCTGAGGTCAGTTCTCACTATATGATAAGTGAATAACTTAATGTGCATTTTATGTTGTGTTGTGAAATTCCGAATAGAGTATTACACTCTAATTAGCCTCCACTTGACTATGATCTTTAGACATTTATATACATGAATATGCTCTGAACCTGTGATCATTACATTTTTTTTGTCTCATGTATTTAGAGAGAGAGAGAGAGAGAGAGAGAGAGAGAGAAATGTATTGACTATAAACTTTTTCTTCTGCTATAGGTCCTATGCGCAGGTAAAGATCTTGCTACAGAGCAAACTAGTAGTCGTATGATTAATTTGTTGAGGCAGCTTCAACAGACGCTACCACCATCAACTCTTGCCTCTACGTGGTCATCCTTGCAGCCTCAGCAGCAGCTTGCATTACAATCAATTCTTTCATCATAGTGCATAAGGGGAGGCAACATAATTCATTTGTGTTTTATGATGGTTATACATTTGTTAATTATTCATTCAAGTTGACAGCATTCATTTGCATCAGCCTCATGTTGGTTGTTTTTTCTCGATTGTCAATGCCAGTTGCGAGTAAAATATGGACTACCGTTTGCAGAATGTCTTACTTTAGAAAAGAAAAGAGCGAGATGGTGGTCTGGGGGTTTGTGAGATTTTTTTGGTCAATTATCATACTTGAGGGTTGTTAGAGGCAATCCAGTTGCAGTTTTGATCCAGCAATGTTTTTCACTGTTTTACATTATGGAGTTTTTAGCTGTACATGGTGAATTTTTATCATTTGTCGAGGTTGTTTGGGATTGATGGTTTTTAAATAGTACCTACAAATCTCGGATCCATTACCTCTATAGGTAAAAAATTTTGATTCAATAATTCTCAATGTTTCTTATGCAGAGTACAACTTAGATTCTGTGAATTATTAAGTAGATGATGCCTTGATATAAGCCAACCAACTCGACCGGCGTTGGATGATGAAAAACATGGCACAACTGCCAGTACTCTTAATATCGTAACCCGGCAAATGTGTTCAACTGTTCCAACAAACCATTAACGATGACATATATTTTAATGATGGTAAAGTAAATTTTTGGTGGCATAGATTCCTTTTAAGCGTGCATAATTGGATTCTATATTTATTGCCTTAATACGACCAAATGTAGTGGTCTGGTCTACTTCTATATATAATATAATATAGCTAAATGGTCAACTTAACTTGTATCCAAATGGCAGGCATACGAAATAGTAATAAAGAAAAAATGGAGTGGCAGTGGCAGGCCTTCGTGATTGCAACTCATTAAGGTATATTTTATCTTCATAGATTCTACGTTTGACTTTTGATTTTAACCGTTATTAATTCTTG